CAGGTTAAGTCCTCGTGTCTTTAGCTAGCTAAAAATCTGAACAGAACGTTTCCTAGCCGTTTGTGTCAGGATTGTATATATTCTAAAACTAAGGCGGATTACCGAATCCCTTTACGATTTCAAACACAAAACTAGCAAAATAATCTTTTGCCGCTATTTTCTTGGACAATTTTAGCAGAGATTATTTCTGTGTGCATACTCCATTGTTTAGCATTCACTTCCATGTCTTGCCACACCGCCTTATGTGATTAGCACAGCTAGGAGCACAATGAGATGCACCATAATCAAAGTGTCGAAGACCTCGAAGTTAAAGTATTTTGGAGGGTTGCGCTAGTACAATGCACTCCAACAGCACCCTTACCTTTACCCTGCTTTTGACTGCACCCTTTGATACACTTAACCAGGTTTGAGCCACTCCTGTTCCTCACCATTGATGAAGCGAATTCCGGAGGCTCAGACACAAGTACTTGGTGAAACCAAGTAATGGCGTGTGGAAACTTTACCACTACTGGAACCTCATGCGTGATTGTTGTCGATGTAAATAAACCACTTGACATGCGCCAGTCCTCCCATTATTGATTCTACGAACGCTATGCATGGGATCGGTGCCTAGCTGGGAACATCTTCATCTCACTTAACCAATTACTAGTCAATGCCCATCTCTGCCTCGACTCCCTGCCTATCACCCCACGATCTGTGGTTTACATACATTGAGGAATTTACAAATAAGTAGGGAAGGCGATTCTTTACTTTGCGATTCCCTCTGGGTTCAGTCTTGGTGCGAGCAAAGTGTCCTTGTGAAATGATCAGTGGGTAAATTCATCAATAACAATGAAGGTGCAGCAAGATGTTGCTTGTGCTGAAAAATTCGCTTTGCCTGCTCCTGGTGCACTGGCCAGCCCTATTCGATGCTACCTCTCCTCTCTGTTAACTTCGATGGAGCCAAATGTCGTTTTCACAACACGACACGTTAAAACGGTTGCAAAGTTCGACCTTTAAGGTCAACTGCTAATTCCCGTATGGGGCACTCATATCCCAAATGGCATCTCCAAATTGACTACATTGGCACAGGGACCCCTACCGCAGTCCGATCTTCCCTTTTCCATCATTCGTTGGCGAATTGCAAAATACAGTAAAATATGGTTCCTAGGATTTCGGTAGCACTCCTAGTTGCGTTAACACCACTTAAGACACTGTGCACAGCAGTACCATTCTATGAGAGCTGGCAAGGCTAGGAGGAATGAGTCGAGTTGAAAAGCCATGTGGAGGTGATGTTTACCACATACGCGCCACGTTTGCAATCGGATTCATGCAAAGCTTGGTGAGGACGCGCTTTTAATTCTGCTGATGTATTGGCCTCAGAATGTATTCAAGCGCATAAGGCAAATTCAATAAGGAAAGAATTGTAATTGGGACCCGAAGGTTCAATTTATGCAATGTACT